AAATGTAAATATTGTGGTATACGGATGGATCGAAATTAGAACATATAGTGTGGGCCAAATTTTGACGTAACGAAAGCTCTTATCTCCACTCTATCACAGTACAACAAATACCTAAAACCGGACTGACAGATACACAGATATATTCTCTGCTGCTGTCTGACCTGGGTGCCAGGCACGAGAGGATTCAAGTCAACAAAAAGGCTGACAAACTGTAAAAAGGAGGCTCAACCCTTACACCATTTGTATCATAACTGCAAATTAAATTATGCTAAAAGCGGAGCTGAAGAAGTAGACGAAGAAAAAATGATCACACACTGCATAAATTCACCAGGTGCAAAACTATCAAAAACGTTCCTTTACTTAGCAACGGGAAAAATGAATCTCTCTCTCTCTCTCTCTCTCTCTCTCTCTCTCTCTCTCTCTCTCTCTCTCTCTCTCTCTTTCTCTCTCTCAGCAGGTATGAATTAATGAGTTATACTCCTTTTTACTGGTTATTGCCCATTAATTAAAAAAAAAAAAAAAAATGGGAAAACTTAGACAGGAACCAGCCGACTATACCATACGATAGTAGTCATTGGAACATTGTTCTATATCATTGCAAAGCATTGCTTCCAATTACATTAGAGGTAGACATTTTAGGCAGAGAAATAAAAAAGGGTCAACTTCACACTAGATCTGTCATGGGTTCTTACGTAATGGAAGACAGGTAAACTGTCTGGAATAATCACCACCTAGAAAAAGGAAAGCGTATGATTAAGCCTTTACCGGTAATAATGACTTCCTTATTAATCAACATTTGTAATTTCCTAAATGGCATGTTAAATTCGTAATAGCTCAGTAACATCGACCGATTCTAGAGTGAATGTAATGCATTGTATTCCTTCAGCCATTTCGACCAATTAATTAATGTAAATCCATTATATCAACTAGCATTAACAACCGTGATTCATCAAGCTGGTAATAATGGACAGTAGTTACTGCAGAATTTAAATAATCGCTGTTTATGGGTTTGCCACATTCTTTTGTTCTGAAAAGATAAATTTCTGAAACGTTTCGATACATGCCAGTTTTGGTCAACCCCAATCGTTTCGTCACTCATCGTTTTATTTGTTTTGGCTGTACCTTCAATTTCTAATGTTGTTCGGTGGCTCAACTGCATTTGTACGTCGACTTGCATTGATTGTCTGTCGCATTTGAACAATATCTTCCAACCTGCAGGTGGTCTCCTCCAAACGTGACACTGCGATTATAGTCGAAAAAAATAACTTTTTAAATAAAGCGAATAAATAAAGCCAAAGAGCTGGAATGAAATCAAGGCACTAAGAAATGCTAAACCCGATGTAACGAAGTTGGTCATAAGGTTGGCCAAAAGAAAAAAACACATTGAAAATTATGTGACATATCTTTCATTATCTGCATATTAAATGACTGAAATCAATTCGTTTATGAGTTTGTACAACGTTAAGCCCTCCCTTGAAATTATTCATCCAGGTTTTCCGAGAAGGTATAATCAGACAGAAATTTATAAGTATTGTTGACTGTGACGAAACGATTCAGAATATAATAAAAAATATTAGTATGCATAATAAATATTATACGATATTACATATAGGATTATAAAATTAATGAAAATATTTCTGCACATTGTTAGTATATTAACCTAATATATTGTACCTGTACTGACGAGGGCTCTAGTAATAAGTTAAATAAAGTTTGAATATAAAATAGAATTCTCAAATTGACCTGGTATTTATTATCAAAGAATGCTTCCAAGAATGTATTTAAAAAACCTGTAAAAAATAGTAAAGAATACAATTATATAATAATAATAATAAAAAAATGTTAATTAAATAAATTGAGAATCATTCTTATTTAGAATAACTGGGTGATTTTGAAAACTACATAACCCTCCTCTCTCCTCTCTCTCTCTCTCTCTCTCTCTCTCTCTCTCTCTCTCTCTCTCTCTCTCTCTCTCTCTCTCTCTCTCTCTAAAAAACACTTTTTTATCAGTAAATTCAAAAATTCTGGAACGTCAATTTTTGCACTTTTTAAGAAAACTTGAAACTGGGATGTGGCGCCAGGAAATCGTCTTGGAGCGATGCCATTTAGCAATCGATCGGAAATTTTAATACGTTTTCAATTGGTCACCTTCCACTTTCCCCGATTTCTAAACCGTTTTCGTGTTATTCGCTATTGTTGGGGGAAAACGTGGTTTTTTACGTGCTCATGGAAAAAAAGCCCATCTCTCTCACTCACTCTCTCTGTCTCTCTCCCTCTCTCTCCCTCTCTCTCTCTCTCTCTCTCTCTCTCTCTTACTCTCTCTCTCTCCCTCTCCCGATTTTCAAGAATGCGTATTTCAGAATTTTGGAATTTACTTATGAATGACTGAAGCTAGGAAAACATTTAAAACAGCCATCTTGTTTCGCGTAAAATTTTCTAAAAATGAGACCTAGTACAGGTCTTTGACTTAAAAGGCTGAGAAAATATGTATTTCCATTGGGCATTTTTTGGTGCAATAACCCGGTGGTCGGGTTTTTTTATTTTTTTGGCTGTCTATAACATTTATTTCTCCTAGTAGTGATTTGGACTTTTTGACATGTATAAAGTTTATTTCTGTAAATGTATGAAATTAAAAATTGTTTGACAATTATTTACATTTTTGAGGGAACTGACTAAGCAGACGGTGATAATTTTTGACTTGTAAAAGAAAATCAACTTATATACTTTTTAAAACATCAAGTATTACGTTGCAGAACAAACACTATCAGCCTGTTATTATTTTATAGAATGGAAATACAAATAAAACGACATATATCTAATTTTTTAGAGAAAGTTACGAGAGAATATTTTTAACAATTATTACTTTCTAATTTCGTATAAATAGAATTTCGCATAATTTATGAGATGAAAAAGTCTTATATTAATTGGCCGTACAAAAGCACTAATTGGGGCCTCGGCTGGGGTTGCTTGGAGGAATGAAAAGCCGTTAAGTTTTACCTTCTTTTTATAACAAGGACCGTACCTTTCAACCCCCTTTCGCCGAAATACCCCGCGGGTCCTTCAGGTTTTCTTTTTTCCCCTGGACGGGTGACTCTAATTGATTGATTTGCATTTATTCCTTTCTTGCTCTTCCAAGTGGCTTAGTTTCGACCTCGTTATCCACGTTTAACATAAAAGATCGTATTCATCAAAATGGGATATCCATTTTTCCTTAATCGTTATCGCAATTTGAGAATTGACGATAACTTTCTCAATAATCAATTAATAAATAATGAATAAGTATGAACTTGAGAAACATTATTTATTCAAATACGTCATTAAATATTAAATAACCATATTCGTTTACAAAATATGTTGATCAAATGAAATAAAACTTTCTGAAAATAAAGAGTCGAGGCAAATCAATGAATACAGTAGCGAAGAAATTATATTCAACACTAATGGTTTTTTCTAAACGTTTTTCAATAAGATATAATTTCCATTCTTTCTGTTTCTCTCTCTCTCTCTCTCTCTCTCTCGTTCTCTTTTCTCTTCTCTCTTTCTGTATGTCACCTCTAATCCTCTCTCTTTCTATTCTCTCTGTCTCTCTATATGCGACATATTATAACAGACGACATATAGTAAAGAAAAAAAAACGAGAGAAAAAAATGTTACTTCTATTTTGGCGTCTTTTTGAAATTCACAAAATTGGTGACCTTTAATGATAATAACGGTTCCACCGAAAACTGGAAACTTTAGATCTGTTTAGAACTACTATAGAAACTACCTGTAATGGCACGGATAAGAAGTTGGTGTTGTTATTATTTATTACTTATAGTATCAAATTTAAACCTTCTCGTTGCATTCATCAGAAGGTTTCTTGACAATAGTCTCTAGATGTCCCGTATCAGGTTCTCTACCTACTACTGGAGAGGCATCAAGGTGTCTATTCGCAAATCAGCATCTCACTTGGATAGATGAACTAGAGGGGGGCTGTTTTCATCACAGACCAGTGTCCGTTTGTTTTGTAGCAATTATATGGCCAAGGCAGTGTGTGAACGCTTTGCTTCATTTCCCAAGTGTGAGTCACAACTTTTTCAAAGCCAAGTCAAGTCAGTATTGTATGGGGTTGAATCAACGCCCTTACACGCACCGAACTGATATCGTGCAGAATGGATCTTTGGCTGCACTAAGGTACATTGAGAAATGTCTTCTGGAAAACCATTCACATTATTGGGGATATTTTCGTGCTAATGCAAGATAAAGCTCGACTGCATGTAGCTTCAGTTGTCACCCATTACTTGGAGGAAGTAGGGAGTACACAATAAATTGGCCATCACGTTCTCCACACTTCCAGAATTCTCATAAACACTTATGGGGCATGATAAAGTGACGGGTTAGATATTGCTCGCCACATCCAAGAAGCTTTGAACAGCTTCAGCCTCTTGAAGAATGGGTTTCAGTTTCACAGGACGAAATCCGGTGGTTACTTTATACGTTGTGTAGGAGACCTAAGGATACAACACGCTTTACTAAAAGCAAAACTAGATAATAAATTGTGAGATAAATTTTAATCTACTACTAAATAATATATGATTTTTTATTGTATAGGTAATTTCCTGTTAAACTGTCATAATTAAATGATTTTTTTAATTAAAACTCATGAATTTCTAATCTCGATAAATTTGGTCTGCATTAAAATAAGTATTTTGCAATTAATATAGTAATAAATATAAATTTAGTTTAAAAACAAAAAACAAGAGTATACCTCGTTTGCGTTTTTTAAGCCGATTAGCATGGAACGAATGACAAGATAGTTTAGGACTTCAGTTTTGTTAGTCCGGATTGCCGTTTGGAATAATTTATTTCTCTATTTGCGATTGCTGTTAATCCCGATATAGCAAGAAGAAAAAACTCTATAGCCATGAAGGGGTGAAGGGAGTGGAAGGGATGAGGGATGGATTCCAGCCGCCCCCACCCAACCCGGCGTACAGCTGGCAACCCTCAGTGGCCTGCCGGCAAGCGTACAGTATAGTTGGGACGTCGCCGTTTCGCTTTGTTTGGATGCGTACAACACGACGATCCTGCCATGCCCGTCGCAGTTTCATTTCACACGTAGTATTGAGACGTTTTCGTACTATTCAGCATTGAGACAATTTATGGAACTCTCCAGAATTGGGATTTGTGACTTTTCAACGGTTTGTTTATCACAAGTGTAATGGACATGTGGAAAACGAAGTAACAGGGAGATTTCAACGCAAATATGACGTTTTTGCCAGCTTCGATTCTCGTGACTCTCCTAGTCTTCGGAACAACAAAAGGTCAGCGATAGTTTTTTTTCTTTATTAATTTCTGTACGTTTTCCCATGACGGTCCCGTATGGAAAATTATGGACACTATTCCACTCAACAAAAACCTTTTTTTTTCTTTTTAGTTGTACTTAAGTTCAGAAATAGAAACAATATATACATGAATTTTATAAAACTTTAATTTACATAGGAAATTTAAGCCGTAAAAATCGTGTTTAATCATAAAAAAATCGCGTTAACCTTAGTTCAACTTTTACTACAAACGAGAGGCAATATATGAATAGAATTCACTTTATAAATATACAAAAAAAATCATTAGCCGTAATAGAACCGCACGAAACGGCTATCAAGCCAAAACGTGTCATTCGTGACTTTACAGGAAATAAATTCAACAAAAACAGGTATGAAAAATTAAAAGTAAAAAAAAAATTATAGCTCGACAATATAAATTATGACTAATGAAAATTCATCATTAATCAATGTTTTGGTGATTTTTACAACTATAGTAACTAGAATAGATATCACTACGTTACAGGTTTAAGTTCCAAGTTTTTTTAAATCTAAATATTTGATGTAATATCTCATGGCTTGATCAGAATAGCGATTTATTGTAATTTCCTTTTAAAATGGAATGTTTAATTAATTTATGGAAATATGTACAAATCATATAACGTATCGCATAGCAAGTATTTAAATTTAAATTAAACTACTTAATATTAAAATTTGTAAGACAAGATTTATCTAATTTTCCATCTATTACATTGATATCACTTAAAAGCTTAATTATGTTAGTTGTATGTTTCTAGTTTTTCAAAGAAAGAAATATTTATGAATGTATAAACCTTGAACAATTTTAATTTTTTGCGTGGTTTTATATGATAATTAATAATATTTTTAGAAATAAAAGTGCCACAATTTTCTATAAATCAACTTTGTTACATGGAAAAATCTGGTAAGGAAAGGGTTCATCAATACGCACTGTTTCTTGTCATACATGATTCGGGAAAACCATATTTGTTTTTTGGTATTTTATAAGACTATACTCACGTATAAGCATACAAAGTGTGTATAAAATTGGCTAAAAATGAAATATTCAGTCACGTAAAGTATTAGTTTACCACATGGATCTTTATTCTCGGGCTAATTCGGAAAAGGAATATTTTCGTTTTGTTCTATTTTATGTGATTATTCAGCGTGATTTCCTGGAAGACAAAAACTCTGTTCTAATTGAAGAATTTATAAAAAAAACTATATGCGAAATTTTGAATGTTGCGGTTTTTGCAGCTTTGTTATCTCTGTCCAGCGAAAAAAGTTGTAAATTGTTATTTTTACATGATTTGCCAGCCAAAATTATTTATAACAGGTCGATAACCTAGTAAATATCATATTATCACTATTATTACCTTGGCTCTTTCTTTATTGTATAAATAGACTTGGTACTTGCAATCATTGAAGTTTATAATATGCGCCTAAAACAAACCGGTCACGCAGGGTTAATTATAAAATTACTCAATGCCCGATAAACTAATTTAATTTGATATATATTTAACTTTTAAAGTTATGCTGAATAAAAAATAAAACAGGCAAAATGGTACAATCACAAAGTTTATTTACCCTCACATTTTCTCCCTTGTTGTTTATTTTTTAAATAAAACTAAATATTTTAACAAAGCCTGCCCGCTGTAAAGGGTTTTGTGAAACTTTACAATCATATATAATAATATTTGTCAAAAAAAATGAATTAAGCGTTTATAAATTTTGATGGCAGAATATTAACATAAATATAAAGTCCATGGTTTATATCTGTGGAAAGTTAAATATTAGCTGCAATTTCTCCCTGATTAAGTTATTCTGTGTTTCTGAAATAATAATTCAATGAATTAAAATATGCAGCAGTCTTCCTTCAGGACATCTTGCAAATATTAACATAAGAATATTAGATTTATATTAATTGCAAATTTTATGGTTTATGGGGTGATGAACTCATTTTGATGAAGATTATCGCCTTTAGTGTAAAATCTGGGTGAAGTTAATTTTATGTTGTGTCTGTTATCTTCAAAAATACACTGATGATTGCGAAATCCCGAAACACGTCTTACAAAATGGTTATCGGGGAGACAAGTATAAAAATTAGTCCGCTTTATTAGCCATTTCTAGTTGATTTATAAAAGATATTTTTATATTAACAACATGAAAAACATGCATTACATATTTGTTTTCTGATAGTACAGCATGTTTTTTCATATATAATCTTAGCTAACTTTATTTATAGTTATTGTCATTTTAAAACTTTGAATCAATGAGTATGCCAGTTTTTTTTTTTTTAAAGGATCAAAATGAAAAGTAATCATTATATTTTGAATTGTCCCTCCTTTTTACCATTTTTCGAGGTCACGATAGCTCAAGTGGTAGAGCAGCGGCGTATCTAGCCGAAGGTCGTGGGTTCGAATCCCGCTCGTGCCATTGACTTTTTTATCTCAACTAAAAACCTTAATTAATTGTAATATATTAACTGGTCAAGCGGACCACGAAATTAGTGAATTTAGTAAGCATGTTGAAAGAAATTTCTTAACTCATTCTTGGGCTTCCGGGCAAGTTTTTCATTTTTATACGTTGGAATTTGATTGCATCCGATGTTTCTTAAATTAGCGAGAATACGCGGGAGCGAGAAACGGCGAAACAATGGCCCTTGTGTTCTACAAAGTTAACCACCTTGGCACTGTTTTGACCATTAATCATTTTTCCGTCTGATAATATTCTCTTTTAGAATCATTTTTGGAACGGCTAAGTGGGCGTTCACGTTTCTTGAAAATATAGCCTAATTAAATCCAAAATATTTAACCAAACAGAAAGAATTATACCATATTAAGATCTTGTTGAATAAGAAAGAAAACGTAGGTTTTAATTTAATTCATGTCCAATCGACCGTTGTGTTCATGATTTAATTTGAAAGTTTAAAATGAGAACAAGTGCAAAAATAGGTAAATATTTTTAAGCCACAGGTTTACAACTCGTAAATTATTTCGTCAGTTGAAAGATAGAAACATTTCGATATAAACTTAATTAAATTAATTGAAAATCGCCTTGATTTTGTATTTATTGCAAAATACTGCAAAGCACTTTTCAATGGGGGGGGGGCGGAATTCATGGAAGAGGCGGTAATTCATGCTTAATTTAGAGGAAGGGCACCCGGCGAAGTAATTTGACAGGGCCGGAGTTTCCCTGGCGGGAGACAAAGGTGGATGAAGGTTTGGTTACACAAAGGTTTGAAGAGCATTTTCCCACTAATCACGTAATCTTCAGTGTTAGTGGCCTTGCCTTTAATAAACACCGGCAGATAACCGCGACCCACCCCGATAAAACGTAGCATTACAGGGCCAAATAAGCCAATTTTCAAGTTATGTTGTGTTTTTGTTTCTTTATTTTTTAAAAATTATTTATTTCAAACTGTTCTTCTACTTTTCAAAAATCCTTTGACTGATAAATTATTATAAAATCAAGCGGAATTGTGTACTTAAATTCGAGAAACTAAGAGTTAACAAATTGTTCTAAAATGTTAAGCACGCCTGACATAAAATTATCTTATAGGCTCCTGGAGCAGTGAACAGCTAGGCCATTTCAGCCCCCAAAGCTTGCAGTTTTTAAATCCAGATACACTCATATACTAACTAATCTAATTAAAAGTCGATGTAGTACACAATATCTCACTATCGGCTACACTACACATTCACGATAATAAATACATTCAATGTTAATATATACACAGGGTAAACACAAAACATATATATATATATGACCCTAACCATCCCTAAATGTCCGTTTGCAAGGATAGGTGTTTCAGTAAAATTACTGTATAAAACCAAAATTATTTTATTCGCAGTATTTACCTTCATTTTCCCCAATGACCAACTTTTTTTATGGCGGGACTGAACAATTCTGAACTTTGAAATGAAACAAAATCTGAAAACGCTTGTTGGACTTGAACATTCAAAAGTTTTTCCTTTGACGAAGTTGTCTCAATTCCTAAACAGGTGCAAGTCAGTTGGAGACAAGCCTGGGGAATAAGATGGATGCTGAAGAACTTCGTAGACAAGCTCTTTCAATTTGTTTACAGTAGGTTTTAAAATATTAGGCCTAGTGTTGTCATGGTGGAGTATAGGACCTTTCCGATTTACAGGTTTCAGGTTGTTTTTTGAGTAATTTTTTATGCATTTCGTCAATTGTCTTCCGGTACGGTGTAGAGGTAATGATCTCACCCTAGGGAAAAAGGAATAGTGAATAATTCCAGCCATGGAACACCATACAGTCACCATCAATTTTTTTGGTTTATATTTGGTTTTGACATGTGTTCCGGTCTTTCGTCGATGTTTAACCCCTGCCCTGACGCGTCATATGCAATCTATTTTTCATCGCAAGTGAATATTCTTTCAAGAAAAGGCTTGGTCAGTTTGCCTGGCGAGCAACGAAACGCATGTCTCAACGCGCTTTAAGTGCTGTCGCTCAGTGAGCTCATGATGGACCCATATATCAAACTTTTTGACTTTTCCGATGTTACTTAATTGTCTTGACCCGGTAGCCGCACTTGCATTTAGTTGTGCTGGGAATCGTTGTGCTCTGACTGTTTGATAGTGGTTTTCTTCCACCTGAAGCTTATGGACATCGTTGTCGATGAAAGTTGAAGGTCTTCCGCGGGGCTCCTTTTCTCAATTCGGTATTACCTTAAGCGAATTTAGCTAGGTATGCAAAAAGTCTGAAATGGATTGGACCAACATTATAAACAAAAGTGGAGGACATAACTGCTTGGTTATAAAATGTAAACAATTGAAATTAAACGACAGAAAAACGCTATATCCCCTGTGAATTTCTGAAACTATAAAATTTTTCATCTGAAGCAACCTAATATATATACTACTACTACTGTATCTTCCAAAAATCAGAACAGGAGACCAAAGCCATGTACAAGAACAATTCTCATTTCCGGTGGTATTCCTACACGCTCGCTATATCGAGCC